CCGCGGTCTCCCCGCTCATCCGAGTTTCGTTAAGTCATTGGTTGTAACCTACGGGATCGCCTCGGTATCCTCTCTGCTCACCTGAAGCAGATACGATCGGCAGTCAGACGCGTACCCGTAAACATGCCCAGATATTTAGCGAGATTGCTACGATGTAGGGAAGCCATCATGTTCGACCCTATACCCCTATGAAGCACTGCTACTGTCCGTGTTCCTGGCCGAAACGGTCATATCACAGATTGGTGCGAAAACAAACAAGCGCTCTCCCCGAGCTCGGTTCTCGGCTATATATCCAACCCGTGCTATCAATGTGGCGCACGCGCAGGGGCGTGACCTCGGGGGTTGGTACCGACATGCATAAGTTAACTCGATATCGGGACAACTGGAACGGCTGATCACTGGCGCAGAAAGGAATGAAAGAATGAAAGTAATCAACGCGTCTAGCAAGATCCCATAAGAAACAAGCACTCCAGCTTATTCCCCCACTCCCCTTGCAACTTCTTCCATTCCATCTCTACGCTCTACCTCCTCCTCAGGATTCTCTTCCTGGGCCGCGAACATGTAGTCACTGATGGACAAACGCTGTGAACCCAAGCCAAACCCACTATCGATGTCCTCTCCCACGACGCGCGAATGGAACTCCCGCACGCTGATGACAAGCCGAGGTGCAAGTACGTATGGTCCGATGAGGGATAGCGCCATTGGCACGAGTATTAAATTTCCAGGAAACCCGGACGTCTGGGCCAGTGTGACGAACCACACCAAATCCATGATATTGAAGTAGAGACCACTAACGAAAGAAAAGGTCAGTCTCGCCGAACAAAACTCCAGAGAATACGTACACGATGTAGTACAGTATGCTTTCCTGCACCAGTAGTTTCATGTATCGGTTTGATTGCCATTTCCCGAGCGCTCTGCGCATTTCTAGTGCGTGTGTGACAAACCGAACTAGAGCAAAGATGCAGAGGAGAGAGCTTAGAACGAGCTCAGGAACGTAGAGGTATATGGTGAGTTGGGACGGTACGTTCAAGACGATGGTGCACAGCACGACGTTGATCACTTCGACTTCAGTCACCGGAAAGAGATATAATGAACGAGCGAGGAGACAGGTTAGGAATAACACGAGTACCTGACAGATGAGTATTAGGGTTGAAGTAGATTCCAAGGGAGACGGCAGGGAAAATGATGGCTGATATATAGACTGCGAGGAGGATACCAAGGACTAGCCTAGATCGATTATACATGGCGTGTATGCGGAGGATCATTACCACTGAGTTAGTGTCAGGAGGCATAATCCGGATAATGAGAACAGCATGTAACTCACAGTCGGCAACAGCTTTGAAGAAAAGGTTGGCCCACTGCGCGAAGAGGAAGAGCACCGTGCCTTTTAAAGGTTTCTACATAAACTCATGCTCGAGATATGATGAATATGCATACAGCTGAATGTCATCTCAGCACGTCATTTTTTCAGGTAAACGGTAATACACGAACGTCTGTTTGAGCCCATTTTAGGTATTTATGGTTAGTTGAGGTCGAGCTTTCAATGATTAACAACGAACATTAACAGATTCGTTTATGAACGAAGTGTCGACTTTGAGAGAATCAGCATCATACAACTCCATCAAGCATCAGATTGTCCTGCACTCACTTACTATAGCTCCTAATCTATGCATGATAAGTACGTAGGACGATCTGGATGAAACTAACGTACATCGCGGCGGTCAAGCCAAAGTAACGGATCACAAGGAACATCATAGACATCAAAGTCCAAGGTCTCAACTTAAAGATATTCAGTTGAGGTATTCGCGTAGCTGATATCATCCACCGACCCAAATATATTCCACCTATTCAGGCCGTAAGCTCAGAGACTCCGTTTCTGAGACAGAGAAGGGGGCTACGCACCTCTTGCAGAAAGGTGAGGACTTGAGACGTGATCATTATTTCATGTGGAAGAGATAAATGCGTAGGACCAACTGTAATCATACGAAACGGCAGCCACAATGCCCACTGTGGTCGTGAGATCAACGAAACAACGGCAGCCAAGATGGACGTACCCGACACGTAGTTATTGAATTGAAGACCAGCGTACACGGCCGCGGCTTCGGAAGCCATCGCAGCGAAGAGTTACGGTTGCGTGAAGTGAGATCTCGAGAGAAGGAGCTCAAAGAATCGAGCCCTCTTAATAGCCCAAGATATCTAATGCTGTGGCTGATGAAGGGATTATTATACCGCTGGGAGTAACATAGCACAGAGACCATCAGACGGGCCTGGGCGACCAGAACCCGTATCGCCCCCTCCCAGGATCCCAGGAAGGGACTTTTGTTGGACCCCTATGATGTATGACCAAGTTGTTTTCCTGAGCCCTGGGAGACGAATGGGCATATTTTATGATGCTGCGATTAGCAGCTGCACAATTTATATCACTGAAACGCTCAGGATCCATGATTTACTGATGACAGCTAAACTCACCTTCGTGAATTTAACCACATGTTATCTCCAGAGTCTACGCCCAGGCTGCAGGCGGAATGAACTTGACAGGGCATCTGACATTCTACCGAGGGAACGGGTTTGCCCGGTGGGACCAACACCTCCCGTCTTTAACCATCAGTTCAGCATCCTGTGCTTCCTCCAACGTTAACTTTGAAGGATTTCACACATAACCCGCGTATTCCACAAGAAAGTTGGTCCTTGGTAAGATATGTAGTGACCGCAGGCTGTTGCAGCGACGCGGTCCTGGGAGACCTACGAGAGATTCTGACGGAAAGGCTGTGGGAGGCAAATTTATGCTGCTAGTGTCATGAAGCGACAGAGCTTGGTGTGCTTCGCAAATAGTTGACTTGGGTCAGATCAAGCGCGGGCAAAGCACAAGTGTTTGGAACCTAATCAGAAAGTGCGACGGTGCCACGATGGTAAGTAATAGCACTGCCACAACCAGCTCTCAGACTCAAGAATCCGGAAAGTCCGTCCGTCCGTTCCGTTTGTCCGCCGTGTCCGCCATGTCTTGTTCGTCCTGCCTATCCATCACGTCTCTGAATCAGTAGGCCAATGACTTAGAGTCTTAGACATCTTGTGATGACTTCACCTTTCAGGAAATTTCAGGAGCCGCATCTGCGGATCAGCCGGTTTCCAACGATATCTGTCGTCCACGCCGAGATAGATCCAACCCATGCTAGGGAATTTTTGTCTGGTTCATCCATGACCACTCTGGGCACTTCTTGAACGAAAGGTCTCGCAACATAATTCAGCTCTAATCTACCTCGTACTTGTCTCTAGATTCACATTCACTCGGTATCCATCCGGACATATCAGATTTTTACTGGAGAGCGAAACCTTTCTCTGGATTTTGCATCGAATGAGTGTTGTGTCGATGGCATTGGCTGATGAGTACTGGGACACCTGTCCCCCTCCCCATCTGGTGCGTCGGCCATCAGAACTTTACCTTCCCTCACTTCGCCAGAAACACCTGCTCCGGATGGCCTCGACGTCCCTGCAGGTCGCCTGGCTGCTCCGCCGTGTACGAATGCTCCAAGTCTTGTCCGAGTCAATACTGACGGTCAACAACCAATTATGGCGATGCCCATTGCTTCAAAATAACGCGAAGGGTGTATTGACCTCCTTGGTATTACTGCATGTAAGGCTCACGCTGTCCTGAAGTTTATACGCAATACAATTGATTTGCACAAAGCGCAAGCGCTTGGACTATATACAACGAACTCGAAGCAATGAACATATACATGCGAAAGATGAAAGCAAACAAACGAATGATCGCCTGTGATTGAAGTGGACCGAACCGAACGAGCCTCGACCACCAACTCACCCTCACAACCGCGACCTCTTCACCACCCTCCCGCCATCCCGGTCTCCACCCCAGACAAACCCTCTCTTCCCTCTACTACCGCCGTCCCACTGCTGCTCAAAATCCATCCCACCCCCACCCTCGACGTTCCCAACACCCCCCAATACACTAGGTTTCCTTCCGTCCCCCTCCCCACCTACCACAGCTCGCATTCTCTCCCTCTCCTGCTCGACGCGTAAGATGTTCGCCTTCGTCACTGTACGCGCGAGCTGAGGGGGTACGCCTCCGCGGGGTGCACTTGCGTGCTTTGCCGTTGTCACTGCGGTGGAGTGAGGGCGGGAGCGAGGAGGCTTCGGGAGTGCTGGGGTTGGAGTGTTGGAGGACGACCGAGCCTGGATAGACGCGAGGACCACTCGTGTTGGGGGAAGTTGGGCTGGGGGTGGAAATGCCGCCTCCAAAGGCTGTTGGAGGACTTTCGCTGTACGAAGGATTTCTTCCGCGATGCCCATTTCAGCTGAACGGGGTTGGAACTGCGCCGGCAGGTCTAGTACTCCTGGGGCAAGGAGTTTGGCTAACCATGGAGGGTAATCTACCTCGAGCAACTCGAGATCCAGGACTTCAGAACCGTTTGGAGGAGTCCAGCCTAGGAGCATCGAGCTAACTGCAGACTTGGCTTCGGTGACCGCAAAGCAAGCGCTCGGCGCGGCGTGCGGCTGACGGCCTCCATCGGGCCTTCCGGTGTCGCCGGCAGTTGAGAGTTGATTGGCACTAGCTTCAAGCGCTTCGAACCACGGCGATCCATAAGTCTCGGCACGCACGCTACCCTCTTCACGACCCCAAGCTCCCTCGCTAGGAGCGTCAACGACAATAGCAGACAAAATATTTTCCAAAGCCATCACGTTACCCCTCTGTGGCCGTGTCTCAGGCTTGTGCGCCCGCTCGTATTCATGCGCGATCTCGAGGAGGTCATTGAAGCTCAGCGGGGGTTCTTCTGTGTTGGTACTCTTAGCGACGACGAGGAGGGCGGGGTCGAGAGAGAGGCTTTGGGTGGCGGCCGATAGCATGTTGGCAGAGCAAGAGCAAAGAAAACGAGTAAAAAGGTTTGTAGAGAGGACTCAGAACATCGTACAGGGGCCTGTTGCCTTTTAAGGATCCGCTGTCGAAGTCAGCCCCCGGCAGCGTCTTCCGTGCAAGCCTTCCATAAGGCCTTGTAGTCTAGAGGTACGATACTTGCTTTGGGTACACAATTGCAAGTGGCCTGGGTTCGATTCCCAGCAAGGCCCGTTTTTTCGCCTTTTTACCTTGCCTATACTCACTTTTCATGACCAGCTGCCACTTACCGGCGTTTACTAGTAATGTCTAACAGATGCAGCTTGATATCAAGCGTCCTTGCTTTGGATCCTAGAAAGAGCTCTCCATAGCGATCTCAATCTCTTTTGTTGGCACTTACTAGGATGCGCAGAGTCGCATGACGGTCACGCGTTGGCGATGCACGACGAGTTTTGACCAGGTCAAAGCGATTTAAGTGGACACCAAGCAGCTTCGTCAATGAATCATGAGAAGCAGTAGTTTCTCCGTGTCGCCATCCACTCGAGGTCCACTAACGTGAGCCTACCACTCTCTTGAGCTTTACCAGTAATCGAACACCGAGTTGCACTAGATACATGACCAACGCAGCAGAACTAGCCCCTATCCGTGACCGCCGCCTTCCTGCGGTTCGGCAAGAAATACGAGATCCCTCACCTCTTCAACGAGGCCCGAAGCCGCATCGAAGCGAGCTACGCTTCCTCGTTCATTGGCCCTTTCTGGGAGCTCTTCAATCTCCGTCCCGGCGTCTCAGGAAGAGGCAGACACCATTCCACGTGATCAGTCTCGCGCATGAAGTGACTTGAACTTCAGCCACATCGCAAATATTCTAACGTTAGCACTGGCCAACGGCTTCCAACGGGCCCACCGGGCATCACGACAAGTATATACTATGGCTCATGCATCAATGTTCCTTGTGGTAATGGCTCCTGTAAGAGGTCTGCAGGCATCCGCGTTGGCACGGTAATGTTAAGTCATGCCCCGGACCCCCAACTTTCCCGGTCTGCGGGGCACAAAGCTTTTCTCTAGCAATTGAAGTCCTCAAGCCTTTTGCCCCCACTACGCTTTCCAGCTTCCAAGTCTATTTTGCATGCCCATCCGTAGGGGATCAGCTTTGGAGGATCACCTCGACCCATGGCTGCAGGACGGAAACATCATTCTGGCCGCAGAAGGAAAATACTTTCGGATTCATCGTGACATCCTCTCCTCGGCTTCACAGATATTCCAGGACATGTTCTCGTGTCCCCAAAGCAACAAGTCGGTGGATCCTAGGATGGATGGCTGCCCAGTTATCGTGCTCCATGACCCGGCTTCGGACGTTCAGATTGTTCTCAGAGCATTATACTCAAGATCGTGCGTACAAACGGAAGTGTCTCTAGGCCAACTCATAGGTACTAACTCACCCTAGGCCGTATCGAACCTTTACGAAGGAGCCGACGCCCCTCTCTGTGGTAGCAGCGTCCTTGCGCTTGGGCAAGAAGTACGAAATACCTCGCCTCTTTGACGAGGCATGCGCGAGGATAAAGGAATGCTATCCAGCGTCCTTGTTCACTCTACTGTTTTTGCCACTCGACCTCAAGCACCCAATCAGCGGGCGGGATAAGTATGACTTCCAGCTGATCAACCTCGCTCGAGAGTCTGGGTTGCTATCCTTGCTACCCGTTGCAATGTACCTCTGCGTTCGCTCGTGTCCTCTATCCGCGATTCTCGATGGCTATCACTTCAAGGGCTCTTTTTACACGCTGTCGCTCGACAATCAAAGGTCATGCATCATGGGGAGAGACAAGCTCCTCGAGCTGCAGTCTATCACCTTCGGATGGTTAAAGAGGAGAAGGGGGTGCTGTTTAGACGAGGTCAAATGTGCTTTCGGGAATTACATGACGATTGCCGAGCTCTGGTCCCCAGATCTACCACACTTTCGAGACCCTTTCATGCGATGGGACCCAAAATGGGACTCTAGGTTTTGCCAGAATTGTTTGATATACTGTCATAGAGAGATTGAAGATGGCAGGGAGAGTGCTTGGGATGCGCTACCATCTGCCTTTGGCCTTGGTTCTTGGGAAGAGCTCACAAAGAACGAGACCTACGAAACTAGCTTCTGAAATGTACGTTCTTACAATTCAACCCAGCCCTACTCTTACTTTGGTTCACTTCCGTTATCAAACTAGATGTCGTGCTTGCCGGTAGTCATATTCGGCGTGTTTCCGGATACATTTGGTTCATGGGCCGTCCGCGTCAAAGCCGAATCGCCAAATACACGCTATGTTGCTACTGGGTCAGCCTTCTAGTAGTTCACGCTGGCTTATCGGAATCAATCCACAGCATAGTACGAGGCGGTATGCAACTGAATCACCACAAATTACTACTTCCACCTTTCACGAAGTTCCACAAACCAACTTGAACTGGTTTCGCGGCCAACGCGGGGTTAGCTCAGGGCCCGGGCCTATTGGTTCAAATTCGAAGCCACGAGACCCATGACGAGACCCATGACGCCTTCAGATTGACCGGTCACCTAGCATCTCTTCGCACCTCCCTCACATAGACCGTAAACTGGATCAACTGTAATTTACCCTTCCCACCAATGGGCAACGAAATTTTTGGACAGTCCACTGATTCCCTCGGTCCCTGGTTCGACGACGGTAACATCGTACTTACCACCGAAGGGAAATACTTCCGCGTTTATCGCGGTATTCTTTCCTCCCAGTCACCAGTATTCAAGGACATGTTTTCATGTCCCCAACCCGAAGATCCTAGCGCGCCTGAGATGGACGGCTGCCCTATCATTCAACTTCATGACGCAGCCAACGATCTCCAAATTGTGCTCAAGGCCTTGTATGACAGAGCGTACGTGCGCCTTCAAAATGGGCTGCTCCGTATAGCCTGATCTCAGATCAGTTACTTCAGGTATTCGTTCGATTTAGTCCCATTACCGGTAGCTGCAGCGTTTTTGCGCTTGGGCAAGAAGTACGAGATTCGCAAGCTGTATAAGGAGGGAAGAATGAGCTTGGGTAACTTGGGTGGCTTGATTCCGCCTCCTCAACTCCCCACCGATAGCTCCCCCCGCCTTATCACTTTCGTCACCGAAAGGGACAAGTACGACTTTCACCTCACGAATCTCGCTCGCGAGATTGGGTTTCTCTCCATGCTCCCTGTCGCTCTGTACACCATCGTTATGTCATGCCCGTTAGAGATCATTCTAGATGGATATGACTGGAATGGTGCTCACTGCGCTTTATCTCCCATCAATCAGCGCGCTTGTCTCATCGGGAGGGACAAGCTTGTCGGACTCCAGTCCCGACATTTTCTCATTCAACCAGACTACAAGAGCTGCTTGGACAGAGTCAAATGCATGGAGGGAGAAGAGCGGGTACTCCGAGATGCCTGGCGCCCTGACTTCTACCGTGACCCATTTGCAACATGGGACTCAAAATGGGACTCAAGCTTTTGTTCTCCCTGTTTAGCCTACCGCAAGAGGCTGTGCGAATGCAGCAGAGAAGCTGCATGGGTTGACCTTCCGTCAGCTTTTGGACTCGGTTCCTGGGAAGAAACCGAGCGCAATAGCTTCACCTTCTGACCTGCCCACGTTGTCTCATGGTTCTTCCTCCATGACCAATGTCTATCACTGTACGCATTCGTATTGTAGTCTGTTGAAGCTAAACACTCCTTCGGGCTTTCCCAGTTCTGCTGTAGGCTCTCTCTACTCATCCCACTGAATGATCACCGTTTCAGCATGCATAAGGCCGACCGATTGACGCTGGCTTATCTCGAAGTGATCAGCAAAGCAGCACGAGGCCCCAGAATAAGACGCGCAGAAATCTGCAGTCCTCCGGTTAGCATTATCCCATACGTACCTCCCAGAGCCACGTACCATGGACAGCGAGGAAACGTCTCCACAGCCCGACAATCGCCTTAATCCATGGTTGGAGGACGGAAACGTCGTCCTCGAGGCCGAAGATAAATTCTTCCGTGTCCATCGCAGTGTCCTATCCGCCTCATCGCAGGTTTTCAAGGACGCGTTTGCACTTCCCCAACCTCTAGCCGATTCTGAGGATGAGAAACTGGATGGGTGTCCTGTGATTCATCTTCAGGATAAAGCGGTAGATCTTCAGCATGTCTTGAAAGCGCTGTGTTACCGGGGGTATGCATCATCTGTCAACACATTTTGGGTCAGAATTGCATGCTAACCCGGCAGTCTAGATACGGGAGCGTTAGTGATCCTAGTAAGCTAATGACCATTGGCGTGGTCACGGCGTTCTTGCGCTTGGGCAAGAAATACGATCGAGATAGCACAGTTATACCGCGAAGCCTATGAAGTGGTGAAGGGATATTACCCGACCACACTACCTCCTGATTCACTCGGGCTGTCTCCACGCCGTCAGCAGCGCGACCGCGAACCTCCCGACTTCGAGCTTGTCAACATAGCTCGCGAAGTGGGGTTGACATCTGTACTCCCCGTTGCGTTATATCGCTGCAGCCAAGGGCGGATGGCAGCTATCCTCCTCGGCTATAAGCCAAAAGATGGTAGTGCTCGTCTGTTGCTATCTTCAATCAATCAAAGGGCCTGCATTATCGGGAGAGACAGATCAAGGAAGCTCCTCGCTATAACCTTCAAATGGGTTACGTCGATGAAACTATCTGATCAAGGAGGCTGTATAGAACTGGAATGTATGACCGGGATGTTCATGATGATCGCGCAGATCTGGGTTCGCGGCGGTCCAGAATGTGATCCATTCATGCCTTGGGCTCCAGAGTGGGATAGTAGGTTTTGTGAAAGCTGCTTGAGGAACAATAAAAGGGAGCACAAGGCAGGTAGAGCAAAGGCATGGGCGGCGTTGCCGGTGATCTATGGGCTTGGAACCTGGGAAGAGGTGCAGAAAAACGAAACAGTTTTGTAGCATGTAGATACATGGTTTCCTTATACACTTCGTTCCGAACATACCTCCTTGACAAGCATCCAGAGGTTTAAAGCTTGAAAACATACCAGTGAAGCAACATGCGACTGGCGTGGGGTAGCTTGTCCCCAGTATCAAAGGCTTTCGAAAAGATGACATAATTGCCAGTGACGCGCGGGAGGTGCAAAGCTTACGACCATCGGATTACTATATTCAACGGGGGGTATATTCGCGACCAAAGCACTTCGTAAAACCAACCAACCCGGCGTTCTACAGAAAGCCCACCTGTGTTATGAGTCAGCTTT